AGAGAAACGTTCGTGTATTGCCAAGTACTCGTGATGTGGTAGGGCAGCGCCATGGTAACCTACATATCGAGATCTAAGCTCTTCGTAGATTGTTTCCCTTGGATGGCTGCTGCGAAATTCTTCCGCGTTTAAGTTCTTCACGTACTGAGCGCTACTGGGTAAACAGATAGCCCCGAACGTCAGCTCCTGAATTACAGAAAACGCTGGTAGTTCTGATCCTGCAACCGTATCCTGACTTGGTGAAATATTTCCTGGATGTCCCCACTCACAGCTACTGCTTTCTGGCGGAACCTTCGCAGGACAGATACCAGGCACGTTAGCTGATCAGGTCCTTTCAAAAGCATCGAGGTTGAGGGACACTCCCTTCGTTCTAGCGGCCGCATCCCAGACGATTCGAACCTTTTGCGGCTTATTTGGGTTACGTACAGGAAATATCGGTAGGTACCAGCAACCCTTTTCCGATAACGCTCCGTCATCAAAAGGTTTGGCGTACCCGTTGGCCACATAGGTTGCAATCGTGCCTGACACAATTTTGGCAAGTTCCGGTTCACACGCGAGTTTTTCCTGCAAACATTTAGCTCTCCGCAAAGCAGATGGTAGGCTATCCCGGAGAGTGGCGTTGGCGTATTTCCAAATAAGGCCGGTTTCAAAGCGACCGTCGATGCGTTTCGTAGTTGACTTCAATTGCTCGATTGCATATTCGTCCTCCTTAGCCATCAGGTTGTTGAATGACTTCGAGGTTATCTAAGCATATATAATCCTTGACCACTTGTAGTAGCTCAGCGTCAGCGGCTGTGTCGCAGTCGCAAGTATGAAATGCATGATACCCCGAACGTTGCACTGCTTTCCAGTAACCTCTTTCAGCGTCCACCCCATACGCGTCTTTTTGGATACCGGCTCGTTATCGCTGCCCTCACGTGCGCGGAGACTTAAGCCTAGACGGCTATTGTTGAGGCCAATTAGCAACTCGGGCACAGCGTTTACATAGGAGGGCAATGGTAGGCCCTTCAAGTATGAGTATTTGGTTTGCAAGTCGCGTGCATCGAGCGTCTGGATTGGTAATTCAAGCTTCCGCACTGTGTGTACGTCTTTTAGCACATAACGTTTTTTAGTATCGGCTCCAGAAATATTTAAATCCAGTACTTGGGAGTTATCCTCATAGCGGTGAGTATTAGCAGTCCATCTGGGGCATAAAGGTTGAGAGACGCCGTCCTCTTGTAGTTTCTCCTGCAGCTCAACGTCCATAAGCGTGAGCGCAGAGCCATCATCAAAGAAGGCATACGTCTGAAGCATTTTGTTGTTATTGTAGAGCGTTACAGGCAAAATCCGAAATAGAATTGAGTCAGTTGCACCATCGTGAGCATTAAGCACATGGTTAGCGAGTGGTGAGCTGACCGGGAAGGCCTGCTTGTTATGAGGCAAAGGATGGTGAATCGAAATGCAACCATCCGTTCCACATACGGCAGTAGAAGCGCACAGAAGGCGGGTGCACCCCCGCGACGACATATGGAATGCTGGCGTATAAGTCCCCACCGTTCGGACTTATCTGCACTCGTGAATGTGTTACATGAGTCAAGAGAACCACAACATCCATGGCTGACAATGCACGGGTACAAGGTTTGAGCACGCTGTTCGCCCCTTGGGCTAGTTGAAACAGCCAGTCCGCAAAGCTTTCGAGGTTGCATGAAGACAGTTTTATTTTGTGCATACCCCAAAACGCTGCTGGCAGTCCCGGTAGTTTATTAACTAATTCTTGCTCTAACTCTGGGTTGTTCAAGTGACACAACATGTTCGAAGCCTTCATGGTCGCGCACACGTTTTGCACCCCCAACGCTAGATCAACCAGGGCCTCGAGTCGGTTTTCCTTCAATGCTGGTATTTCACGGATCCTAGTCAGTAGCACGGCGATGATAAGTTCTGGGCGACCGAACTTCAATTTTAGAGTTTCCAGTATCTGGGGTACACACGAAGAATGTAGCAATAGATTTCTCACGGAATGCAGTGCTGCTCCCTCCAGTGATTGACGCAGGCGTAATAAGTTTTCGGCGTCAGAAAACCCGCACATTTCCGTTGTTTGTTGGTAGGTGGCCATAAACAAGGGCCATTCTTCTGGCTTACCATTGAATTTTGGCAAATCTTTACCGAGGCTGGTGCGTGCGGCAAGTTGGTTTTTCGTAAGACAGCGATTCGGCTGTGGCTGCGTCGAAGCGCGGTCGCAAGTCCCAACCGCGACGCTGCCCACTACCACCACAGGGCGGCACCTTCCAATCGGACGAAGCGCGACGACAGAGTCGAAATCTCTTTCGGCGACTGCGCCCTTTCGGATCCGGTGCGACGCGCGAGCTTTTTTAGCCCCTACATCCTCCGGCGGCCAAAGCCAAACGTAGAGTGACTAGAAGGCTGCACAAACGGCCAACAAGTGCGCTTCTTGCTTTCACTAGCTTTGAAATTCATCGGGAAGGCGAAAGCCTCCAGAGCCATGAGACGCGACGGAATATGCATGCTGATGCTGAAAAGTGTTGTTCCTGCGGGATTAGACTATTTAACCATGGTCCTCAACGTGTCAATGGCAATTCTCGTCATTCCAGACATCGCCATAAAGACCCAAAAAATCGAGGCCTAAACCGTAACCGCCCCTGTGAGAGAACTGTTCTAGCAGCGTTGGATCTGTCAAAGGCGTTTGACACCGTCAGTCACGCTACTAGAAGACATAGAGGCCTCCTCTCTCCAACAGATCCTCAAACGGTGGTCGGTGAATTATCTGAGTGGTCGACAGTCGTCAGGAATGTTTACAGACAAATTCAGCAAACCCACGAAAATAAAACAAGGGGTTCAACAGGATGATGCCCTTCTTCATTACTGTTCAACTTTTATATTTCTAAGTTCCCTTAACCACCAAAGGGAGTTTTTACGTTGACTATTGCTTGATAATGGCGTCTGGGAATGCAATTGATGACTTGTGCTCAAAAGTTAACGGTAACCTGTCCGAGCTTTCACGCTTCTTCACTGCAAGGATCCTAACCCTCTCCCCTACAAAATCCTCAGCTACCCTTTTCACCACCTGGACGAAGGAGGTCAGACTGCAGCTGGGGATTCACATCGATGACGAACCAATTCCGACGGTAAATAACCCGAAAGTCCTCGGAGTAACTTTCGACAGTCTACTCTCCTTTTCAGCGCACACAACCACAATTGTCAACAAAGTAGAGAGCCGCAACCAGGTCCTCAAGTCGCTAGCCGGCAACACCTGTGGTAAAGACAAAGAAATGTTGCTGGCAACATACAAGGCAATCGGCCGGCCACAGACGTGGTCAACCAAATAGACAACTGCGTGCAGAAGAGCCCTCGCTCAGGCACGTCAGGAGGTTCATAAAACAACCTCTGGACCCAACAGCCTATCGACAGGCCTTAAACGGCATTCACATAGAGGCAGTCTCGAGGTATGTAGACTCCCGACCTGTGAATTCCGTTCTAGGCACAACCACCAGACGTGGACGAAACAGAACTTCGTCTGCCTCGGGAGACTCGAACCACAATAGCCCAACTGCGCTCTGGTTACTGCAGCAGGTTGAACTCATACCTGAGCAGAATTAGCGAAGATGTTCTGAACGAATGCCTGGCATGCGGAGAGACGCCATGACTCACAGCATCTCTTCGCATGCCCACTGAACCCCACCCTATCGAGGCTGCACTCTTCCTGGGGCTACCGCTAGTAGTTCTTGACATTGATTGCAGAACTAACCGATCTGGACGGGGTTGTTGTAGCCGCTACAACAACAACTTTTTACCTTTCGTAACTACCGTAGTTCTCGTTTCCCCCCAAAAGAAATTGTACCGTTATGCTTGCTCAAAAACCTGTAGCGAACCCAATTTTTGTTTTGTAATTTTTCTATTGTTCGGATTCCTAACTTGTTTCTCATAATTTTCATCAAATTTATTAGCTTTTGGTACCGGGATTTCAGAATAAAAAATTTCTGTGAAGCTGTTGAGAATGAGAAATCGCAAGAAAAAGCATTTACATTTTACGGTTGAACTGCCAAGTAAACGGGCGGGTCGATTTTGCTGGTACGACAAAAATCGACTAGAAACTCGACCCATGTAAAGGCTGCCTAAGGCGCAAAGCTATAAATTTCCAGAAGCAAATAAAACTAAACACATTTATTTAGTACATATTACTTGTGTTACATGTAAACTTTATTTCTTTACTTTAAGTGACAAGAGAAATTCCAAAATTTAAATGTTTTCAGCCTACATCTTCGTCTGCAGTTTTCTTTGAAACCAAAAAAAACAAATCGCTTTTAAAATAGGGTTAGTTAATTTATTCAACCATATTAGGATTTGTTTAAATCCTTTTTACTTCGAAATGGCTTTTACTTGGACATTACACCGATTGCTATTATTTTTTTGATGCATTACTGATTTTCATAGTAAATTCACTTAAATATGCATGAAGGATTTGTTCTTAAAATGGACAAACATTGATTATTTGATTTCAATTTAACTTGCCTTTAAATTTGTGTACGTATATAATATTAATTCTTATTTACCCATGCATAATATTGTATATTTATGTTCTGTTCGCGTACATCCTTTAAATCCATAGCTAGCAATGTTAAGTGGTTGGGTTGTTCGCCTGTTTACCCAAGCTTAATTTTATCATTTATTTATACAGTTTTTTGAATCTATCAATTTCTCAGAAATTTATTAGCATGTTAATACGTATTCATATTCTTTGCGGTATATGTATGTATGTATGTATAATAGATGCAGGTTATTTAAGTGTGCAAAAGAAAAATAAAGATACACGAATAAAATACAGCTTCACAATTGTATTGGTAGGGCTAATATATGGATTTTGCTTAGCAACATTGGCGTCAAAGCGGAAAATTCTATGTAGCATCGCTCTCGTCGCAGAGCATAATTCTCCAAATTTTCGTTGAGGACTTATTATATTATATGCCTTGGTATTGTTGCGANTCTTTGCGGTATATGCATGTATGTATGTATAATAGATGCAGGTTATTTAAGTGTGCAAAAGAAAAATAAAGATACACGAATAAAATACAGCTTCACAATTGTATTGGTAGGGCTAATATATGGATTTTGCTTAGCAACATTGGCGTCAAAGCGGAAAATTCTATGTAGCATCGCTCTCGTCGCAGAGCATAATTCTCCAAATTTTCGTTGAGGACTTATTATATTATATATGCCTTGGTATTGTTGCGGAAATTGAGCAAATTCAAATTAATATGTTTTCTTCTAAAAGCTAATTTAGCATTTCTTTAGCGAATGTTTAAGAAGGTATATTTGGTGAGTGAGTGAGCGTTGATTGTAATTAATTACGAACAGGTAAGTTGTTTGTTTATATCGTTGTAATTACCTCTGAAGTGTGGCATTCATCTTCATCCTATCCAAAGTTATTTACCGATCGTCTTTTACATCTTGTTCCCATGTTTTTATCATGTTTTGTTTTTTATTTTGCTTCCAAAAATGTTTTTCCATTCGTTTATTAAATTTCAGAAATCCAACGAACTCTCCAAAAATCCATAGTATGTATCTAAGTCAATTTTAAATCAACTCCACATTAAAATATCAGCCATGTTGGGATCAATTGTTTTTTATCTATAAAAATATTCTTTTTGAGAAAAATTAAGACCGCCATCTATTCTTTGTAGACGGAGGTGTCCATGGGACTTGCTGGCTGTGCAAATGAAGTTGTTGTGTTTGCGTTTGTTGGTGTAAATGCAGACAGCGATGAATTGCTAGTATTGGACGAATTATTGATGTTAATATTCATTGGATTGGAAGTCTGCGAGAGCGTCCCTGAATTGCTGTTCATAGAAGCATTTCCCAAGCCTAATCCCACATTGATACTGCCATTATTGCCAGCGAGCAAGCCCGAACCCCCACTGCCAGCCCCTCCAATGTTTAAACGTTCAGTGTTTAAATTCTGTAAGAAGCTTGGACCGCCAGTAGCGCCTCCGAATAAAGTGGAAGAGTTAAAAGGAGCACCAGATGAGCCGGGGTTAGTACTAGCACCCCCACCACTTCCGGCGGATCCCAAAAGTGAAGTAGCAGAAAGAACATTAGGAGCCGACGTATTGAGTCCCAACATAGGTGTCGGCAATGCCGGTTTTATAAACCGCTCACTGGCGCGCCGATTCTGAAATTTACAGTTAAAAAAAAAAAACTTCAGTGCTGGGTTCAAGTGCATAGATATATATATATATGTAATTACCACAATTTGACCACATGCGTAACAGCGATTCTGTTGTGCCGTGCCAGGACTGAGTGGACGACTGTTCGATGGGCTGTGTGAGACAGGGCTGCTAATGGTGCGTTGACGAGTATTCACGGCAGCAACACTGCCCAAACCACTAGCGGATCCTGCGGCTCCTAAAACGTTTTCATTGTAGAATCGCTCCTCGTCCATTTCCAGAGACGATTCCGACTCCGATAGGTGACGGCAGAGAGCTTCACGGCGCTCTACTTCGAGTTTCAATTTACGCTGCAGACGCGCATTTTCTTCGCGTATACTTTTCTCTTCTTGTGCAAATTGTTGTAACTTTTTTGTTGCCTCCTTTTGTGCAGCAGCAAGATTAGAACGCAATCGAAGCACCTCTGAACGCAATGTCTGTATGTGAGAGCTTAAATTAGAGGCAGTGTCACCATTGGCATTGGTTATATCACGTGGAGTGGTAGGATCTGAAACTGGCTGGTCAAGTTTAATCTGCAACAAACGCTTTTCTGTCTCGAGCTTGTCCATGCGTTTCCAAAGTTTGTTAACTAGAGCTTCCTGTTCTTGTTCTAATGTATTTTCCAACTCCACCATTTCTCTACGCAGTTGTTCTAGATTAGTTTGTTTGTTATCGGTCTCGGCTTGTAGTTTCTCAATTTTACGCATTAGCTTGTTGACAAGGCATTCTTGCTCCTGCTCTAAAGTCTGCTCCAACTTGCATTTTTCTTGTCTTAACTGTGGAAGAAATTTAAGTGTATTAAAAATTAACGAATCTTGTTATGAAACCCAATAAAAATATACCTGATCTAACTTGCGGGATAGATCGTTTGTCAAACATTCCTCTTCTCGTTCGTAATGATGTGCTAAAGTCTCTTTTTCTTTTTTTAAGGCTTGAATTTTCTTTAGAAGTGTATTCGATATGTACTCCTCTTCCTGTTCCGCTTTCGCTTGCTGGACAAATGTATAGAAAAATATTTATTTATTAAATACCAACATTTACATATCGAGGGCTTATATCCAATTCTTTCCATTTGAAATTTTCATAAAAACTGATAATAGAACCCATCTGGAACTTAACTGTCACCACTGATATTAATTCTTACTTTGCAATCCAATAGTTAATTCCATGATACAAAACATGGTTAATTCTACATACAACAAACGATATGCAAGATTAGATTTATCATGGTCGATGACAGGTGGGTTTTTATATCAGAATCACAATTTTGTGAAAATTACATGGGTATTGTATATAAGCCCTCGATATATCAAGGAACATATGGTTACTATCGATCAAAATGCCCCACTTGACCTTTTTTCTTTTTGATTGGGAGTGTTTACGAGGTAGGAATATGATGTATTGTGGAACGATTTTCCGGCAACCGAAACCGGATTTTCTGCAAACCAAATTTTATGTTTATTTTTTTTAACTTCATCAAACTACCATATATGTAAGCACTTCCAAAAAATAACAAACAAAAAAAAATTTTTAGTTTTCCTGATAAATTTGAAATTGGTCAAATAGATGGGTATTGCATTGATGATAAATCTGTATGTATTTATGTATATAAATCGACTCCTACGATTATAACCGATGCCTGCTTAAGTGTACGATTTTCTTCCTGCACCACTTTGCATTTGATTTTAAATGTGTCTAGTTCAGCCTTGAGTACTCTGTAAAGACGCAAATTGATGTATTCGTTAGTATTTAACAGCAGGTATACGAACTTAACGTACTTATTTTGTTGTGTCAACGACTCGATGCGTTTTTGTAATTGTTCGCGAGATACTGGACTGGGTGGAAGCATAGTACCTCCATCTAGGGAGCTTTCGGATTCACAAGGACTCTCCATATCTGTAAGAATATATATTAAATAATTAATATACTTTTAAGGTATTTGTAATGGTGTCCTCACTTTTTAAGTGTTGGGAAATTTATTATATTTCGTTAATAAACGGGCCGATAAAATATGTAATACCTAGGGCCTGGATTCTTATGCGCTAAAAAAATGAAAATTATGCGCATATAATGTGCACTAACAAATAAAAAAATGCACTAACAACTCAAAAATGTAGACTAAAAACTAAAAGATATGCACCAATAACAAAATATGCAAAAAGACTTCTCGCATTTGTTTTGCTTTTTTATTTTTCTTTATTAACTTTTCATATTTTATTACAATTTTATAATTAACACAAGGATATATTGTAATTTTTAGTGGCACGAAAAACTCCAAAATAATTAAAGATATATCTAAAATTTTTAAATATGTATGTATTAAAAAAAATTAAGCACTTTAATAAATTAAAAATACATATCGTCGATGTTTATGCAAAACCGCCCATTGACCAATTGCAAAAACAGGAGAGCGAAAAAACGGGTTTTCTTGGAAGGCATTGCCTTGATAGGCGGTAATTTCACTGGCTATTATTTTAAAAATCTGTTGTTTTAATAACAATTTTACGATTCTTAAGCATAAATCTCGAGGCCTGGAGTTCAGGGTGAGTAAATCTCATTTTTGTCACAATGGCGATTTAGGCGGTTTTCTCGATGGGCGGTTTTGCAAAAACATCGACGATATCTAATTTCCATAATTTTATTTGTTTTGGTCACCGCTTTATTGGCAAACAAATAAATAGTTCTTTAAAATTTTCAAAATTAAAGCTTTCCCTATTTGGCCGCAAAAAATGTTTTGTATAAGGAGAACTTGAAGCAAGCTAGTTCATTGGGATTATAGCGTTCCCACGACAGTCGGGTCTACGTGACCGGAACGACCCAGATTTATATTTGGCCAAGGACTGTCACTCCAGCAACACTCCCAAAAAACTCTTTGGGGAACTTGTATGCTGCTACAACAACAACAACATTGGGATTATAGCTATTAAGCAGGGGTCAAACGATTTGTACATTTTGGCAGTCGTACAAGTCGTGCGATCCCTGCTTAACAGCTGTCACTTGCGGCCAATTGGCTACTTAGAACACCAGATATTCCCTTAAGTTCCTTAAACCCCTTATTTTTTTGTAGAATGGTATCCAATTTTTCCTTGATTTTTTGCCCAAGTTCACCCTCAACACTTTGAAAAGTAGTAACAGCAGTCTCCACAAGATGCACTTGTTCAGCCAATGATTTGTTTCCTTCCAATTTACTTATTATTTCCGACAAGAAACTGTAGTTTGCATTGATATAGGCTAACCGTGCATCAATCGAATTCGAAGCTATTGCTTTTTTCGCCTTCAATATTGAGGAATCATACATATTTTGCCGCTTCTCACCATGCTCCCCATCTCGTTAATATTGGCTGTGGCGGAAGAGCGATATTGGGATACATGTTCTTCTTAAAAGCTTCAACGCGCAAAGCAGATTTTAAAAATATTTTTTTCCCATTCGATATTAAATGCAATTAAATGTGTTTTTTTTTTACAAAATATGCCTATATATGCATTAAAGGCAAAATATGTAAGAATATGCACTGCCAAATCGATGCCAACTTAACACAAAACTCTTGATTCGCAACATTTGTTAATCTTTAAGTTCCTATGACTCACCAAAAAAAAAAACTAAATGCATAGAAATCCGGGCCCAAGTAATAAACCTATACTGACTGGCGAAAGGTAAATGACCCCCCGAGTTATGTAAAGAGAAGGTGAAAGCAAATTACGTCGCTTTTTACCATTACTTGCATTCAATTTACTTGCGAAAAAATCCCATCAACAGATACAAAACACATTTTTTAAATAAAGCAAATTTATTTTTGTTTTAATATAAATACATACATGTGTACATACATATGTATGTATGTATGTACACCTTCGTTCAACTAATTAGAAACAAAATCCAAAATGACATTGTTTGCAAATTATGTTTATTTGCTTGCAAAAATTGCAAAAAAAAAATCAAACTTCAAAAAATTGTCATCAAGATTTCCAAATTTTTAATCAGAATATTTAGAAAATTTTCGGGTATGCAGTTCTGTAGCCCATTCTATAGTAGTCTAAGGCAAGTCTAGAGTCGTTAAAAGTTACCGTCGATTTTTTAGATTTTTTTTTTGTGGAGGGTGTTGCGCATTTTCTGCCATATAACATTAGGGTAAGAACATTGAAGCTTTGCTCGATGCTAGCTCTTCGCTTTGCTCGCCGCTCCACTATGTTTTGACCCTTAGACTTCAATTGAATGAGCAACATAACTGCATAACCGAAAATTTTCTAAATATTCTGATTAAAAATTTGGAAATTTCGATGACAATTTTTTGAAGTTTGATTAATGTTTTTTGCGATTTATGCAGCTTTGAAACTTTTATTATTGTGGTTTCTGTTACAGATTGAATTTTATTTTGAATCAAAATCATTAAAAATAAAAAAAATAAACATAATTTGCAAACGATATCATTTTGAATTTCGTTTCTACTTAGTTGAACGCAGGTGTATGTATATATATAAATATGCATTCGGACCATTGTAATAACTTTTAAAGCGTGGAAGCGAAAATTTAAAAATTTTATAGACATATTTTTGGAGTTGTCTTGTTACCTTTCTGTGATATTCTTGCCAGTGTTAATACATTGTACCTACATGGAAAGCGGAAATTCTAACCCATTACACTTCACACATATGTATGTATGTACCTATTTTATGTAAATGTATATATACACTTTCAAATAGGTAAATACGTACATATATATATACCACAAAAAATATGTACATACATACCTACATACATATTATGTATGTATCACTCGTTATTTCTTTATCATTCCTTGCATCTACATATATACATATGTATGTATGTATATACATAAATGTAGAGAACAAAGGCATCCCGGTCGAATGCGGTGAGTGCCAGGCCCTCGCCACATCATACACATGTGTTTCGCTAAAATTTAAGTTTTATCAGCTGTATATTTCAAGTTTTATATTCGATTTTTTTTTTATTGACTTTGGAAGCCTTTTGAGTTTTCATTTGGTTGGAATAATGCAGCGACATATCCACGCCCACCCCCTTTGAATTTTCATTAATATCCGCACACCTAACCAGCTTAATGCGTTCACGCCCATGCATTTCATGGCCATAAAATAAAGGATTCATCTCCGATTATGACACCATTTTTCACATTCCTGTCCATGCAAAACTTTTCCATTTTTTTTATCTGATGTGTGAGTTGATAAACTTACCTAAATTTCACCTTTTTCGATCAACCAGAAAATTGCGGCGCTGCAACTTTTTGTTTCCGTCCGGTTTCTTTCACTTCGGTTTTGCGTTGGATATTCTCAATTTTCAAGAAAAATTACTTCTAACAATGTACAAATATTTTCCGAAAAATTATAGCTGGAAATCTTTCAGCAGTATTAGCAGATTGCTTTTTTCCTATCCATTAGCAGCTCTGTGCTCCAAATCCACAACGACATCAGTCCGTTTTGCAAATTTTTCTCGTTTCTTGCCGTTTTTTTTGTTTTACGAAATGACTGTTCAGAGAATGATAGGGAAAGGGGAAAGAATTGATGTGTGCACTGTCAAAAACAAATCACCATATTAAGGTGCCGTCACACACCCGGGCAAAGCCAGTGTTGCAAGAAGTTGAATTTATCTTCAAAATGACGATATCTTTCATAAATAATCAGAAAAAGCTTCACATGGAGATAATTAAAACCATGATAAAAATATAATAAGGTAAAACCGCTGAGAGTCACTTTTAAAATTCTTGACGTTTCCAAATTTTTAAATTTACTCACAAACGCACATACACATTTTCATTTTCAATCTCAAGCAACAACAATTTCGAACAATTTAAATTTTTTGTTTTCATGATTAAAACCATGATAAAAGCATAGTAAGGTAAAACCTTTCTCTCAATGTATCGGCCATGAATTTTTTTTTGAAGTTTGCCAACATTTTAAAATCGTATAAAATTGAGAGAAAAAAGGAATTGTTCAAAGTTGTTGTTGTTTAAGATTGAAAATGAGAATGTGTGTGGGAGTTTATGTGTAAAATTTTAAAATTAAATTGCTTGCAAACGTCAAGAATTTAAAAAATTCCTCTCAGCGGTTCTACCTTCCTATTTTTTTATCATGGTAAGATGTATTGAAGCCGAATAGGAGGATGAAATAGAATGTGAGACTACTCAATTATCTTAATATTCCATTTATCGATGGGAAACGTGTTTTGGCTGCTTTAAATTGTAAAAATATATGATTTGCAATAAAAATTTATAAAGGAAATGATAAAAAACGGTGTTTTTAGTGAAAATATTGTGAATTTCAGTGCATTTAAAGTTTTTGAGGCGTTCTTTACTATACACACTGTAAAAATCGGCAAAATCAAAGTAGCAGTTTGGGGAAGGTGCCACCTTCTGTTCGCCTCATCGTGAAGTCGTTTCAACTTTCTTGCTTTGCTTTTGACATTTTCGTTCTTTCCCATTTAAAGAACCAAAAACTTGAATTCAACAGAGTTGAAGCGTGTAAAAACAAATGGAAAACACAAAAGAGAGTGGAGCAGGAATTGCTTTCAAATCACCGTTTTGGTAGTAGTGCACTTTACGTGTACCAGGTCAAAATGGAAGGAACAAATCGAGAGTGGTATCAATCGACGTATTTTAACGCGAACAATAACAGTTCGGGGG